CAACACGAATAAAAGAACACAAATAAACATTCTTTAACTTTTAATTGTCCTGTTTTGTCTACACAAGTAAAAATTTAAACATTTTAGCATTTTATTTAATATTTAATATTATTTAATATTAAAATAATAAAACTATTGTTTAACACGTTCGTTACCACAACTTATTCGGGGAATCCTTCTCAAAGATCAAAATGTATTTACTTTTATATAATTATATTTAATTATAATTATGTGTAAATTATATTTAGATTATTTGTAAGGAAATAAAAGAAAAATTATCGCTATTACACATAAAAGTAAATGTGTTAAGAGAATATTAAAATGAATGACAAACCCCAAAAATATTAAACGGTGAAACGATTTCCCAAACGTTGTGCTAAATAAGAAGAAAATACATGTTCGGTACGTACAAGCTGCAGAACTTCTGTATTAGACAAATATTTACATTAAATATTGACAGCTCGAGATATTACATTGATTTATATCAAATATTGACAGCTCGAAATATTTCTCGTTTTCGACATCAACATTTTGAATAATGCTTCAATTTAGTTCTGTATTTTCATTATATAAATGTATCAGCAATTCTGCATATAACATAACCTAAATATTGTAGAAAAAATCAACGTGCTGTCAATAAAATTTTCAGCTTCGGCGTCCTCTTAAGCGCAAGTTTGAGAAAAGTGTTTCGGCCAATGATTGCTAGTAAAATATTTTTGTCTACTTTGCTACGCTTCAAAGAGTAAAAATATATTGTCATTTTTTGGAACACAACTCTTAGACGGCCGGAAACATTCATAATCTGTATAATTGTGGTTGTATGCACAAAATTTCAGCGTGAAAGGAAGTATTCCGGGCAACGCTTGTCATTAAACTATTTTTTTTTTTAATTTGTTATGCTCCAGAGACTAAAAAAGTATTGTCATTTTTTGGCACATAACTCTCAGATGGCCGGAAATATTTATAATCTATGTAATTGTGGTTGTATGCGCACAATTTCGGGGAGAAAGGAGGTGTTCCGGGCAACGATTGCTATTATACTATTTTTTTCTAATTTGTTTTGGTCCAGAGAGTAAGAATATATTGTCATTTTTTGGCATACTACTCTCAGATGGCCGGAAACATTTATAATCTGTATAATTGTGGTTGTATGCACACAATTTCGGGGAGAAAGAAAGTGTTCCGGGCAACGATTGCTATTAAACTATTTTTTTTCTAATTTGTTACGCTCCAAAGAGTAAAAATGTATTGTCATTTTTTTGCACAAAGTGCTGAGATGTTCGGCAGGAATTATATTCTGTCCTAATGTTACCGCGCGCGCACAATTTTCAGTGAAAACGGAAGTATGCCGGGATACGATTGCAATATAACTATTTTTTTAACATAATTTTATCTTTTTATGTATATGCATTTATATTAAGTGGATTGCTATAAAAAAAGACTATTTTTAATTTTCGCTCAAAGAACGCTCCAAACTTCAACGATGTTATTTATATATATATATATATATATATATATATATATATATATATAACACAAGGTGACTCAGTCAAGTATAATGTGATTTCTTTATTTGCGGAGGGCGCACAGCATTTCTAGTCGAAAAGTAATATAATAACGTAATGCACATACTCTCGAAAATCGCACGCGACACACATTCTCGATGACACACTCGTCCGATACACGCAATGACTCGCGATGTCATAGACATATTCACAAATACTATGATCCAGAGCACCGCATCGCACCCGCTAAAAGTGAATAAATATTATTAGCATTTATAATCCGTACTGTTTTACTGATAAAGATTTCCACTCCATTTTTTTACAGTATTTTTTATAAGTATCCTATAAGGGTTCTAAAACGATATCATTTATTTTGACAAAGTACATATCCTTTTATATCTTTTTAGGCTATTTTCTCCCAAATGATGAATCGTATCACTTTGATATTTATATATCTTTAATCTATTCATGAACAGCTACAATTTTATCCAAAAATAATTTCAGATTTTGACCCCGTAAAACAGGGTTAAACTTAACAGCATTCTTTGAAAAGATTCTTTTAAAAGTTGATTTATGCAGCAACTATCTTAAAGATAGTCGTCAAAGTAGAGAGAGAGAGAGAGAGAGAGAGAGAGAGAGAGATCGAAATGTATCGAAACATAGAACTTGAATAATGTTCTTATAGAATAATGTTATTAATAGAACGGTTGACGAGCAAACGAAAGATCCCGGGTTCGATTCCTGCCCCAAGTCATATCCGGTATATTTTCTCTCATTTTTCCTACAGCTCTCTCATAAGGTGATTTAGCTAATTAATAGAAATATGTAATATCAATTATAAGAAAGATATAAATACCGATACTGTGTAGAAATAACTCTTTTAATAATCAAGATTATTAATAAGAGAGAGAGAGAGAAGGAGAATACATCGAAGTCTGTAGGAACTATTTAAATGTAAATGTATATGTAATATATGATAAATGTAATAATATGTGTATGTAATATATGATAAAATTTGTTTGAACGTAGAAAACATAAATTTGATATGAACGAGCAACAAAATTTTTGTATAAGGCGGACATTTATACTACTTAACAACACGAAATGTAAATTTTTAAATGTTTATTGTTTTATCACATAATATAATAATGTTGCAATATACTTTTGTTTGCACTTCCATGATGAAAAAACATTTGCAATTTTGTGCAATATTAATTGCTAATTTACTACGTAAATTTTTTAAAAGGAAATCAGTATTTTATCAGTAAATATTTCAGATATGGCATCCGTTCAAGAAAGATACCAAGATGTATCTTTCTTGAGGCTTGATTAGACTAGTTGGTAGAACAATCGACCGGCAAGCGAAAGGTTCCGGGTTTGATTCCCAGTCCTAAATCTTATCTTATTATGCCCGGAATTGACTTCTTTCATTTCTTTCTACTTTATTACATGTTGATTTAACAAATTTTTTACCTGTCAGCAAGTTTGTTTACGGTAAGACAACTTACACACACCACTTACTAAGACAACTTGTCTCTGAAGATAATAGAGACGTATCATTGAGTTTGTGTAGAAATAAATCTTTTAACAATTAAAGACTATTAATAAGAAAGAAGGAGAAGAATTCCACGCATGTTGAGTCCTAGGGTAGCGCAGTTGGCAGAGCAGTCGCCTAGATTTTATTCCCGATCCAGTCTACGTCGTCTGGTATTTTTTTTTCTATTTTTCTACATAATCAAGCAGATTTGCTCGTACTTCAAAAGAATTATGTGTTCAAGTAGTGACCATTCTGCTTGTATAAAATAAATCTCTATTTGTAAGTATTATTTCAATTATTATAACTAATCATTTCCTATGTCGAGACAATTTAAGTTTGCAAAACAAATTTGTTAATTTGGCCGTTTGATGGAATGCGAAGTAGGTAACGTATTCCAAGGTGTAAATAACATAAAAGCGGTTATCAAAATGTTATGTTAGACAAACAACAAAATTGTGCTAATATTTTTTTATTTTTTGTATATGTATATCAATCTTATATAAATGCGGATTTCTTTTTTATTATGTTTAGCGACATATTTATAACGACATATTTATAACATATTTATAACGTTAATTTAAACGTAACGACATATTTATAGAAATCTTTCTAGAATTCTTTCGTATATTTTGCAAGTTCTAAATTTGATTGCAAATATATAGAAACGTATGATAAAATTTGCTTGAATGTAGAAAACACAAATTTGTTATAAATGAGCAGCAGAACTTTTGTATAAGACGGGATATTTATACTTAATGGCACAAAATGCCTACTCATAAAGAGGATAAATGCCTACTCAACAGGATAAACTTTTTAATATATATAGATATTACTTCAGTTATCGCAGCAAATTATTTCGCATGAAGCAATAATCGAAGCGGTGATTAGTTGATGAAAACATAGAAAAAAGTTTTCGATTCGTGTAATTTAACTCTAATTTTAACTAACTAGAAACAAAAACTCTGTTGTATTATAAAAACAGAAAGATTCCTGTAGAAGGCTTTTATTCAGTCAATTGTTCTCAGTTATTTCACCTGAGTTTTAATGCAGCCAAATATTTAGACGAAAATATTTTCAGTCGCGGTATCAGAAATATGATTTTCTATTATTGAGAGTTTTTGCATCTTTAATATTCCTATTTAATTAAACTAATCTTTTTCTGTGTAAAATTTATTTCTACTGAATGTGAATCGAGCTTTATTCAGAAATCAGACTAAACTTTTTGACTGTTTCGATATTGAATCTTCTAAAAAACTAATCAATCCCACTGTTCGTAAAATTCTTAATTTTAAGTTCTAGCACTAAAAATGTTTAAATATAAGTTAAATATACCTTGAATCAATTAATATAAGTTAAATACTGAGCCTAATTAACTTATGATTAATTGATCTTGAGTCAATTAATCATAAGTTAAACAAATTATAACTTTAATAAGTGGATTAATTGCGAGTTTTCGCAATTTGAGAAATAAAGAGCTGAAATGTGTCGGAAAGTTATATGTGTCTTGAAGAATTAATTAATTGCAAGTTGAAAAATTGTGATTTTAAAAGTAAATTAATCGCAAGTCCTTAATTTTGCCAAATAGATGATTACGTGCTCCGTTGCTAAAATAAGATACACAAAAAATGATGTCAATCAATTTGTCTTCTGAGAGATTTATAAAGCCTTTCACGAGTATCAAATTTTTCATCTCATTGCAAAATTACTCGATTTTCCAAATGTCAAAAAGCTATGTTATTTCCACGGACGATCGCGAGGAAGCGATTCGACCGGGTTTCAGCAACAACAACGTGTGCCGTTCGTTGACTACGACAACGAGGACTGGAATTGCCATGAGGAAGGATCGAATGAAATCCCGGAAGAGAAGAAGCACGAGGGAACGGCAAGGCGGACGAAGACCCACGAGGTGCGATGGAGAGGGGCGCCAACGCGGTTTCCTTCACACGAGAGTCACGTTGAGCAGCGGGCACTCGTGCAGTCGTGCTCCACGACGCTTGATCCATACACTGTTTTACCTCTACGCTGCTACCGGTCGGCAGGTAGCAGCCGCGAGGTACCGTGAACTCGTCTCGCCGATTCCGACGCGAACGTTCCTCCGTGCTCGACGCGCCGATTACGGGCCGACTCGTCTCGGGCGCGACGAGTCGCGTCGCGGGCATTCCTCGCGTGTACATTATTCACTTTTTATTTCTCGCTCTGACTCGTGACTTACCAGACAACTTTATCTTCCCGTCGGAGACCTCACCGGAACACGTGAGTAACATTGACCATGCTCCGGAAAGCGGTCGCGGCATTCCTTCGCCGAGGTTTTAATCACTCTATAACCAGAATTTCGCACAGTCAGTGATATACGCGAAAGTTGGACGATAATTCTCGCTAATGATGAACGATAATATGCTGTTAATCATCGGTGATTAACTCGAATTAACAACTATTGTTGTTACGAAAGGACTGCTACTTTGGATGGACCTACTTGTTTCGGAAAGTCGAAAACTTAGAGAGTTACCAAGAAATAACCATCGCTGTAAGAGTCCATCGCTATTATACACAGTGAAATGCCATTTTATTACTAAAAAAAGCGATTATTCAGTTTAATTTCCTTTTTTCAAGTATCTTGGTTATCTTGATTATCTTGGTTATTTTGAACAAAGAATATTTTCTTTTGATAACAATTTTCAAATGTACTTATACACATCATAAGTTTCACAAAAGCTCATTATTCTGTACTCAAAAGAAGATTCTACTTTCTTTAAAATATAAAACTTTATCAAAGAAAAAAAGACGTATTCGATTTTACGTAGTAAATAAACCAAATTTTTACTTAAATTTGATATTTTTCATTGAAATGTTAACCTTACTAGGATTCTCAAAATATTTAAATAAATTTGTTATGATGAACTCATACTATATTTACGAATACATATACACACTTATGAAATACTTATAAACAAGTACAAACAAGTTCACTTAAATATAGCACATATTTTGCTGTATATACGCGTAAATTAATAGAAAGACTTATAAGATTAATAGAAATTATAATCAAATGACTGATGACATATTGTAATCTTTAATATAATAAACGTTTTTATCTTGGTTTGAATATTTTTCAGTGTGTAAAATAATGCAAATAATTACAATGTATAAGTAATTATTATTACTTATAATTACTTATATTTACTTATAATTATAATATTTTTCTTTTAATATAAATGTATATTTTCTGTTTTATGTGTATATTAATCCAACGTTTGGCTCTCATAAGTGTATGTATATTATTTCTTGTTTTTGATTAACTATTGATCCTATGATTGTATTAATTTCTTCACTCAAGAACCTGAACCATGAAAAACAAGACAATTTCTCAAAAAATCATAGTCTTGAAATTCGGATATCGAGACAATATCACATCCTGTTAAAATTAATACGTCATGTGAATCTAAATAGAAAATTATTATGTCACATGTAAAGTTCTATATGAGAACGAAAGCGATATCGACGACTTGTCATGAGAAACCAAAGATAATCCCGAAAGTTACATGGTGCACTGTCTGTCAACAAACGCCGTTATGTTATCGTAGCAGCATGACAGTAAAAAACGTACATAAAATACTACATTCTAAACACGTCTCTAGATTCTTAATCCTCGTTTCTAGTTATAAAAGTTGCACAGAGAAAAAGAGAGAAAGAGAGTGCGGTGGGGATAACGAGCGAGATCGAAGCTAAATGTATCACATATTGCTCATCCGCGATGAATAAACAACGAGTACCATGCATATCGCGTAAATAATAACTGATTATCAAATTAAGCAATCAAACTACCCAGTTAATTACCTCGCAACAGCATACACGTTATCTATTTTAAATAATGCTGATTATCTCGCGTAGTTCACGTGCGCTGTGCATAATTACTGCTGAATTATGCATGAGTACACTTTATTCTGTGTTACTACTTTATGTTGTTTTATGTTTAATATAACACTTTACACATGGTACTCAAAACTAATTGCACATGATATACTCAAAATCGAGTTCGATCGAATAACACCTGAAAGAAAAGAGAAACAAATTAAGTTTCCATAGAAAAATCATTCTGCAAACTCTCTCTCTCTCTCTCTCTCTCTCTCTCTCTCTCTCTCTCTCTCTCTCTCTCTCT